CATTTTGATATCTATAATGGACTGTGCATTTAAAGCATTCTGATATACCGTAACTATAAGCCATGGGTAGGCAAACTAAGGCCCAGGGGCCAGATCCGGCCCAATCGCCTTCTAAATCTGGCCTGCGGATGGTCCAGGAATCAGCGTGTTTTTACATGAGTAGAATGTGTCCTTTTATTTAAAATGCATCTCTGGGTTATTTGTGGGGCATAGGAATTTGTTCATTATTTTTTCCCAAAGTATAGCCCGGCCCCCCACAAGGTCTGAGGGACCGTGGACTGGCCACCTGCTGAAAAAAGTTTGCTGACCCCTGCTATAAATAGTCATGGCTTCCCTCAAAGAATCCTGGGAGCTGCTGTTTGTTACGTGTGTTTAGAGTTGTCAGGAGATTCCCTGTTCCTCTCCAAGAGCTAAAGTTTCTAGAACGCTTTCACAATCATTCCCTCTTCTCAGGGAACTCTGGGAACGGTAGCTCTGCCAGAGGAACGTAAAGCTATGTTACCATAAAGCACATTCAAACGGTAATAAGTGAAGAGCTAATATCTGGAGGTGGGGCCATCTGCCTCCCAGGGGTATTGTGGGAAGAAGAATCCTTGTTGGTGCAACTATTTCCCCCCCTCCAAAATAAAAAGTTAATTCCCTTAAAAAATTGTGTTTGTTCTTAGCAGAAACTCCCTCCATAATACAACAGGCAATAATGGGGTGGCGTGTTGCCTCCCAATGCAAACAAAGGTCAACTTCAGTGAAGGGATTTTCCTCAGGACTGCTGCAGGGGTGGAAAGGGTTAAATCGACCCTGCTGAGAACCCAGTAATAATTAATAAAGGAGAAAAAGTTAGTAAATGAAAGAAGTTAATATTATTAGAAATACGAACTTGGAAAACTGCTAAACAGGTGATATAATGAAACTCAGAGGGGATTCGAGGAAGTCATTGAAATTAGGATTTGGAAGTAATAATTCTTTTTAATGTTTTTTTCTTTGGTTTTTGTGTATTGTAATGTTTTTCTTTTCTCTTGTTTCTTTTTTATGTGATAAGTGTGAAAACCAATAAAAAAATTGGGGGGTGGGGAGAAAACTCCTGAGGCGGCTGTAAAAAAATAAAATAAAATCTAATTAATTAATTCTGTCGCTCAAGGAGTTGGGAGGACACTGCTATCATCTTTCGTTCTGTTTCTGACAGCCACGTTTGTTCTGAAAGGGTTGAGGAGGTTGATGGAATCTTCACTGCTTCCTCGAATCAGCGTAAAAGTAATGTGCATGGCTGCCAATAAGGGAGCTGCTTGTACATACCAGCTATGGAAATATTTTCTCACATAAATAGCCAAATTTAGCTCTGGGTTTTATCCATACATATTCATGGAGCCCCGTGAGTTCATTGAGGTTGGATGAGGTTAAAGGAAAGCAGCTGCAGATTCAACTTTGAAATCTTCACTACACTCCAGAGTTGCCTCTACTAATGAAAAGGAAAAGCAGATTTTTTTCGCACTGCTTGCTTTTATGGATGTCTGAATGGGTACTTCATAAATCTTGGTGTGACATACCCAATGCTAACTATTCATAAATTATAGTGTACCGTATGATGGATATTCTAACATGAGAGCAGGACCTGCCAGGATCATTGCTAAATATTAATGCACACAGGGCACAACGCCATAATACAAATTTGCATATGCTAATTTATATGTAGAGATGCTTTTGGGAATCTCTTAATTGTGGCTTAATTGTTGGGTGGGAGGAAAAAGTTCATATTAACTTTGTTTTGGAAAAATCCTTGAAACCTGCAGATGTTCACAGTTTTAAGCACATTGCTGTGATGTGGGGACTAACAGATGGACAGCAGAAGCGGCTTCCGTGATCCCTTATTGTTGCAAAGGGACTGCAAGTTTGGAAGGATAAACATCAGACATCCATTACTCAACAGTCTGAGGTTATTACTGCTATTTCTATGTTTGAACATATATCACGCCATTGCCAATCTTACTGGGATATCTATTTCGGCATATGGAGTGCTTAGATTGCACAGAAAGAGAGAGAGAGAGTTATGGGGAACCCTTTTGTTTTCATGGGCTGACCTGAGTCATCAGTCACTGGAAAAATGATGTCAGGTGTGCTTTGACATCCCAATGCCATCTGGGACCTCAGTTCCTCAGTTCCCCCCACTCTTAAGTCCAGCTTGTGAATTTAAAAACCAACACCACACACATGAAAATTCATCAGAATTTTAGTGCAACTTTCTCCTGATATACACATTTTTGCAAAGCAATTCCCACAAAGCAATAGCATACAAACATGCAATGCATTTCCCCACTGATATATGCCTTTTTATGGGCACTTTACCCCAGTATATACACATTACTTGGCTGGAGAACTGCCAAATTTACAGAAATGCGAATTTTGAAGGATGGCTGTGTTTCAGTCCTCGAAATTGTTTTGGAAAGTATGAATTAGAGACCTTTGTCTTTAAATGTGAGCTGAATCGATTTTCTCCTCATTCCTATTCAGAAGGAAACCATATGTTTGCATTCTGTGGCTCAGGAGACAGTAGGGCCAAAGCCACCCCACACTATTAAGAAGAGAGACAGCAATAACATGGGGAATGGCAATTTTAAGGGAGAAAGTTAGAGGGAAAGTGTGTGCAGTGGTGATGATTTTAACCTCTCCTCCCTCCTTGTTACCTGGATGGAATCAGATGGGATGGGAATCCATCTTCCCATCTGTGCCTTGGACCATGAGGCACTGCAAGCAACCCTTTCATTCCTAAGGAGCAGACAGTCATTAAGAAACACAGCCCACTTCAGAACATTCCTGTTTTATAAAACACACACTCCCAGCTGAAGAAATGTTCTTGGATGTCTAATGAAGGCATTGCTTTCAAAGACTCTGTTTCTGACCAAAGATTCCCAGCTTTGCTGCAAAGAATTTTTTTTTTCCTTTTTCCATTTATGAATTGCATTGTGTTTAGGAAACCTGATGTCAGGGGTTCAGGAGCAGAGGCACAGGAAAGGGAGGAAATAGAGAGCGAGGGGGAGGAGTCCGAAGGAAATGTTAGCGATGACAGCGGTCCGAGGTCTCTGAGTCTTTCCAGCGAATCGGAAGATTCACAGAAAGGGGCTCCCTTGGTCAGAGCAAGGGGGTGCCGAGGGGGACACCCCAGGAAGAAGGGGCCAGAGGGGACTCAGAGAGCAGCAGTTGGAAATCAGGACCAGCGTCCACACCAGAGTGCAGTAGGGGGGAGGAGTCCCAGGCATCGGGATCAGGCGGCGCACTGCCAGTGGGAGGACATGAGTCAGGATTGGCCACGCCTCCATCGGGGAGCGAGGAAACGGTCGAGAGGAAGGTTGAAGGCTGGGCGCGCGCGCCAAGTTCAAATGTACAGGAGGGCGGCGCAGTTGGCAGCCCGGATAGGGAGCCAGGTCCCAAAGCCCGCCGAAAAGAGGGGGAGGAGTCAGGAGGGTCAGCGTCAGAAGAATCCAGGAAGGAAGGGACCCCGGGGGGTAGCAGGACCCAGAGGAGAAAGGAGAGACGTAAGAGGTGGAGTAAGGCTAGAATCTTAAACTGGTGTACAGGGGGCGGAGACTCAGATGGAGCTTCGCCGATCTAACCCCTAGACGTAGAGCTGGGGCGCTCCGGCTTGAAAATGGAAACTGTACTTCAATAAAGACTTTTGCACATTACTGCCGGCTAGCGTTGGTCCTCTGTGAGCTGGGACCTGGAGCCAGCTCTGACAGTAAGCTCCATCTCATAAAGTTTTGCACCAAAAACCTCGTAACGTGAGTGGACGCAGCGAGGGAAGAAGATTGGTGCTTTGCGAGCTCACAAAAGTCAGGCAAGATGACTACAGAACAGCAACTAGCAGCCCTGCAAAATGCAGTGACACAACTCAACGCGGAGGTACTCGCATCCAGGAAAAGGGAAGAGGAAGCGGCTGCCGCCTGCAGGGATCTCCAAGCCAGGTTGGAAGTGCTTGCTAAGCAGGGGCAACCGGGACCCAAATCAGAGGGGATTGGGCTGGGGAAAAGAGGAGGCAGCCTGGTATCTCATTTCGATGGGAATTTGCAGCAGTACCCTAACTTCCGAGCAGACGTGCTGTTTGCGCTGGAACTGCTGGATAAAGACTTTAGAGATGAGCAAGAGAAGGTGGGGTTTATCTTGTCCCATTTGCATGGGGAAGCTAAAGCGTGGCTGCGCAATCTGTGGAGAGATAAGGATCCGGCGCTCCAAAATGCGGATGCATTCATTAAAGCGATGGATTCGTGTTTTTTATCAAATATAGACATTGATATCGCCAGAAAAGACATACATGGGCTCAAACAAGGCAGAGCCAGTGTAAGGCAGTACCATTCCCGCTTTTTTGCATTAGTCCATGCGCTGGGATGGGAGAAGGATTCTGCCCCAGTCAGAGACCTTTTTTGGGAAGGCTTGAATGCAAATGTGAAAGATGAGATTGCAAGGGGGGAGAGACCAAAGAGCACTCAGGAGGTTGTCCGGCGGGCGCTGCAAATTGGGGTGCGTCTGGAAGAACGTCCATGGAACAGAGAAGAAGGACGTTGGGGACGTACGCCAGTGAGAGCACCCCCTCTTTCCCAAGGATACAGCGCGTGTGCAATCCCCACCTCCGCAAGGAGGGGGAGAGCAACCGATGGAGATTGGAGGCGCCAGGGCTCAGTCAACAACCAGAGCCTTAACACCGGGAGCAGTCAAAGCGAAGCCTCCTAGAGGGAACAGGAAGTGCTACATCTGCGACAGTGCTCAGCACATGGCGAAAGAGTGTCCCCAGAGGCTCCACAAGCACACTGCAGCCTCAGCAACAGTAACAGAAGCAACTCAGCAGAGAGAAACACAGCAGGGAAACGACAGAGTCTGGTTGGAGGAAGAGGCACTGGGGCCCAACCAGACAAGTCAATGAAGCCGTCCCCAGAGATTTTGCAGCCCACAGACCCCTCCCGCCCAAACCAGTGGTGCAGCTCACAGCATCGCTCCAACTACCCAATGGACTCACTATGGAAGTGCCGATTACCATTGACTCTGGTAGTAACGCAGACTTCATAGGACTGGATTTCCTTCAAGAGCACAACATAGCACTCCTGCCAGCCACGCTGCCTCTGAAAGTTGTCACGGTGGATGGCAGGGAATTGCTGGGGGGGCAGGTGGTGCAGCAAACGCCTCCGATGGTGATGCAAATTGGGAATCACCGAGAAGTCATCAGCTTCAATGTCACCCAACTGTCGGACACGCCTATAGTATTAGGCATGAGTTGGCTGCACAGGCACAGCCCAGCATTGGCGTGGTACCAGCGACAACTGACCTTCGGCTCCTCATACTGTGCGGAACATTGCATTCTGCCTAGCCCGGAAGGGGAAGAGGATGACCCGCAGCTACAATTAGGCACGCTGCAAGCAGTGCCACTCAAGTACGCAGCGTTTTTGGAGGTTTTCTGCGAGAAGGAAGCGGACAAGCTACCTCCCCACAGGTCTTATGACTGCAAGATTGACCTCCTGCCAGGGGCGACGCTGCCAACCGGGAAACTGTATTCCATGTCCGAAGACGAGCTGCAGGAACTCAGGGAGTTCATAGACCTCAACTTGAAGCGCGGTTTCATCCGGGAGTCGAAGGCAGTGGGGGGCAGTCCTGTATTCTTTGTGAAGAAGAAGGACACGCCCCAAAAAAGGCTTGTGGTGGACTATAGAATTTTGAACTCAAAAACCAAGCCCACAGCCTTTCCCATGCCCAAGATAGATGACCTGCTCGCAACGGTGAGGAAAGGACGCGTTTTCACAAAGTTGGATCTGCGAGGGGCGTACAACCTGATTCGCATGCGGGAGGGCGACGAATGGAAGACTGCCATGTTCACGCCCCTGGGCACCTATGAATACAGAGTTATGCCCTTTGGATTACAAAATGGCTCCCACTGTTTTCAAGCCTTCATGCATCACGTATTGGCGGGTCTCCTCTACAAGAAATGCGTCTGCTTCCTGGACGACATCCTGATATTTTCAGAATCAGAGGAGGCCCACGAGGGAGACGTCAAGGAAGTTCTGCAGAGACTGCAGGAGCACAGGCTGTACGCCAAGCTGGAAAAGTGCCAGTTCGACATGAAGGAAGTAGATTTCCTGGGCTACAAGTTGTCGGACAAGGGGCTCGCCATGGACAGCGCCAAGGTTCGCTCAGTGTTGGACTGGAAGAGCCCGCGCAATCGGAAGGAGGTCCAACGGTTTGTCGGTTTCGCCAACTTTTACCGCAAGTTCATCAAGGGGTTCGCGATGCAGACGGCAGCCATTACCGACACACTCAGCTCCAAGAAGAAGAAGTTCATCTGGACGGAGCAAGCGGAACAGTCCTTTCAGAAACTCAAGCGTCTCTTCTCGTCCGAAGAGCAGCTACTGCATGTGAATCCCAGCAGACCGATGAGGGTTGAAACGGACGCCTCAGACAGAGCCGTGGGAGCAGTACTGTTGCAGCAAGACCCGCATGGGGACTGGAGACCGTGTGCCTTCTACTCCAGGAAGCTCAGCAAGTCAGAGCAGAACTACACCATCTGGGACAGGGAGTTGCTGGCCATTCATGCAGCATTCAAGGCGTGGCGGCACTTCCTCATTGGAGCCAAACACACAGTGCAGGTCCGCACGGACCATAAAAACCTGGAGTACTGGCGCACGGCAAGGTTCCTGAACCAGAGGCACATACGATGGGCGGAGTTCTTTGCGGATTTCGACTTCAGGATAGAGTACATCCCAGGCGACAACAACATCATGGCGGATGCACTGTCCAGAAAGCCGCAATACCTCGAGGAGGCGGCACCAGCAGCGGCCAAGCACATTTTCGCACCGAAAGCGTGGGCGTGCGCTTCAGCAACCGTGGACCTGGATGCTGTACGGCGAGCACTGCAGGAGGACCCCTTCGCGCAAGCAAAGATGGCAGAGGTGCAAAGGGGCACGGCGGAGGACGACGAGTTCCAGATACGCGACGGATTGCTCATCCGCAGAGGGGCCCTCTACGTACCGGGAGACGACCTCCGCGCGAAAGTACTGCAGCAGTTGCACGACGCACCCACCGCCGGGCACTTTGGCAAAGAGAAGACGGTAGAATTAGTAGCCAGAGATTTTTGGTGGCCCAAGATGCGGGGGAAGTCGCGGATTACGTCTCGAGGTGCGACACCTGCCAAAGGGCCAAGTCAGTGCACAAACCGCCGGCGGGACTGCTCGAACCGCTGCAGACACCGATCGAACCGTGGGAGAGGGTGGCCCTGGACTTTGTCACGGATCTACCCAGCTCGAGGGGCAAGACGGCAGTGCTAGTGGTGGTGGACATGTTCACCAAAATGGCCCACTTCATTCCGTGCGCGAAGGTGGCCACGGCGGAACAGACCGCCAAACTGTTCATAGACCACGTGTTCAGGGTTCACGGTCTGCCACGGTCTATCCTGTCCGACCGGGGGCGACAGTTCATCTCGAACTTCTGGCAGAAGCTGATGGGTTTCCTGAACGTCAAGATCAACCTAGCGTCGGCGAGACACCCGCAGACGAACGGACAAGCGGAGCGAGTCAACGCCATCATGCAGCAGTACCTGCGATGCTACGCAAATCAGCAGCCGGCAACATGGGTGGACTACCTGCCGCTCGCTGAGTTCGCCTACAACAACACGAAGCACGTGTCCACGGGGTGACACCGTTCTTCGCCAACAACGGGAGGCATCCCAGAACCTTCCCGGGATTAGCGAGAGAGGGGAGGGGGAGCCACAGGCAGCGGAAGCCTTAGCATCAGAGTTGCAGGAGGTTCACGAACAGCTTCGGAGGCAGTTAGAACTAGCAAAGCACGCATACAAACTGCAGGCTGACAAGCACAGAAGGGTTGGGGAAGACATACAGGTGGGAGACTGGGTTTGGTTAGCAGCCCAGGCAGTGCCGGCCAGATCGTTAGCGAAGAAGAAGCTAGGGCATAAGCAGCTAGGACCCTACCAAGTCGAGGCACAGGTCAATCCAGTGGCCTTCCGGTTGACACTGCCGGAGGGATCCAGAATGCACCCAGTTTTCCATAGATCAGTGCTCACGCCCTACAAAGCACCTCATAGATTTCAGGAGCCAGGAACGGCACCAGACCCGTTCAGGGAAACGCCCACAAGGGGGGGGTCGCCAAGGCGGGAACCCGTCAACGAAGTCACAGAGATTTTAGACTCGAGATGGGCGAGGAGGGAGTGGAATACCTCCTCGCCAAGGAAGGTACCTCGGCTAGCGCCAACAGTTGGGTGCCAGATTATGCTCTGGAGGAATCTTGGCTTAAGGACGAGTTCCATGCCCTTTTCCCACACAGGCCCATGCCAGCCGAGTATTTCGACGACTGGCTTTTCACACCCACATTTTCAGCTAGCACATTCCAGGGGTTCACCTCGGACGAGGAACCGGCACTAGAAACACGTTCCCCGGAGGGATCACCCTCGGGGTCTGCCTCAGACCGTTCCTATTGGTGGGACAATCAACCAGAGGAGCAGTGGCGCAGGAAGTGGTTGGGGGGTCCTTGGCAGGCAACGCCCCCGGAGGAGACCGGGGAGAGACGGACATGGACGTGTTGGGGGAGGACCTTGGGCTCGAGCACGGCGGCAAAGAGATGGAAGCAGAGGAAATTGAGGTCGGCGAGAGCACGGAGGACGAGCCGGACTTATCCGGCTGGATGCACGCCACGGGGGACGAACTGTATCCGGCACTCACCCCCACAACGACGGAGCACCCAGTACCCACACCTGAAGGAGGGGAGGCGGCAGGGGGGGCTTCGAGGGGGATGGATGTCAGGGGTTCAGGAGCAGAGGCACAGGAAAGGGAGGAAATAGAGAGCGAGGGGGAGGAGTCCGAAGGAAATGTTAGCGATGACAGCGGTCCGAGGTCTCTGAGTCTTTCCAGCGAATCGGAAGATTCACAGAAAGGGGCTCCCTTGGTCAGAGCAAGTGGGGTGCCGAGGGGGACACCCCAGGAAGAAGGGGCCAGAGGGGACTCAGAGAGCAGCAGTTGGAAATCAGGACCAGCGTCCACACCAGAGTGCAGTAGGGGGGGAGGAGTCCCAGGCATCGGGATCAGGCGGCGCACTGCCAGTGGGAGGACATGAGTCAGGATTGGCCACGCCTCCATCGGGGAGCGAGGAAACGGTCGAGAGGAAGGTTGAAGGCTGGGCGCGCGCGCCAAGTTCAAATGTACAGGAGGGCGGCGCAGTTGGCAGCCCGGATAGGGAGCCAGGTCCCAAAGCCCGCCGAAAAGAGGGGGAGGAGTCAGGAGGGTCAGCGTCAGAAGAATCCAGGAAGGAAGGGACCCCGGGGGGTAGCAGGACCCAGAGGAGAAAGGAGAGACGTAAGAGGTGGAGTAAGGCTAGAATCTTAAACTGGTGTACAGGGGGCGGAGACTCAGATGGAGCTTCGCCGATCTAACCCCTAGACGTAGAGCTGGGGCGCTCCGGCTTGAAAATGGAAACTGTACTTCAATAAAGACTTTTGCACATTACTGCCGGCTAGCGTTGGTCCTCTGTGAGCTGGGACCTGGAGCCAGCTCTGACACCTGATGTTTTCCATGGTTTCCTACATTTCAAGATGGCCTCCCATTTGCTATGTGAACCCTGATTGGCTGGGATCACCCATGTGATTAATCTAGGGAGAAATCAGTGCTTTTTTCTGGGGTACTCAAGGGAACCAGCACTATTCCCCCCCCCCCCAAATGTTAGAACGTAGGATAACAACTTCATGGTGAGTACTGGCACCTTCTTACTTAAAAAACAAAACAAAACCGCTGGGGAAAATTGATACAAGAAGGAAAATAAGAAGAGAAGAAGGAAGAAGAACAGGAAGAATAGCAACAGCAGGAACTATGGCGGCAAACAGAAAAGGTTCATTGGAGAAAATAGTTATCTTCTTGCATTGTTGCACAGATCATCCAACAATTGAAACAGGAGAATATCTGACACAGATCTAGTTATAGTTCTAATTATACACTTTATGGTACATATTTTCAGTTTTGGGGGGATAAAATCATTTGAACTTGATTAGTTAATCCTATGTAGGAGTTTTTATTTTAAAAAATGATGGAGTTTTCACTCAGGCAGTCTTGCCCAGAACACACACACCTTAATTTTTAAGTGCTACAGTCCAGGAACAGTTTTCCTGTGTGGTGAGTTGTTTGCCTAAAGAACCCATATGTAATTGGAAGCATACTTTAACTGTTCTTGCAGAAAGGCCCTTAGTGCAACTTGCCCGTGTAAAAACTTCACGTTCCATTCATGTGCCATTAGAAGTTTTAATGGCCATGAGTAATCATGAGTAAAATAAATACTATTCATTTTAATTGGTGTAAAATGCTTTTAAGTGGGAAAGGAAAGACTCCCAGTGTTATTTTTAAGCTATGAACATTTTGCATGGTTGGGTTTATTTATTTTTTAGGGAAAAAAGTATATTGGGGGGAAATTATTTCCCAGTCATAATGTCATTGTTGATTTAACTCTGTTGCTGCCAACTTAATGTGGGTGCAGGCTTTTGTTGCTACTTCACTTCTTCAGTTCCATAGTATCTTCTCTCTTTTTTTGAAGGGGGGTGGACCCCCATTTGGAAGTTCTAGATGAGAACAGGATGGGTGGGCACCACTAGCAGAGTCGTGGCTGTTTTTTTGCTGGCTCCGCTGCTGTGAAACGTCTGGAAGGCAGAAAAGTACAGCAATCAGATTTGGAAAGCAAACCTGATGTGGTTACAGTTCAAAATACTTACTGTCAGAGACTGGACTGAGGAGGAATTCCCTCCCCCCCCTCCCCGCTTCCCAGAGAAGAGAGAGACAGTATAGATTTAGAACAGTGGCTTGCAGAAGGTCACAGTTCAGAGGCTGCAGAGAGGAGAAGCTGGGAAATATTGGGAGAGGGGCAGCAGGAAGAAGAAGCACCTGGGGGGGAAACAGCTGACAGACTCAATGTCTTTGGAAAGCATACCAGAGCCCACCAAGCATTGAGAGAAGGGAAACAGAAAGCTCAGAGGCAGAAAGTACAGATCAGCCGGCGCAGGGATGACGTATGATAGGAGAGACGGAGCGGGTGGTACTTTACTCGGAGCAACGCCATTATCCAAGAGAAACAGCATTTCTAAGTCTCTCTCTGTGACTACTGAATAAAAGACTTGGTAAGAACTCTTCTTGTTTATCTACTTCTTGGCTGCCCACTGTGGGAGGGATCAGATTCCCTGAAATCTGACACTTACAGGCTAAGAAGCCTCTAAAAGTGGTTTCTAAGATAAAATGCAAAACAATGGCAAGCAGCAAATAATTTAAAAGATGAAAACAACAACTGCATCCAGCCCACAAAATTTCTGCCTATACATCACACAGTAACTCTACCAGCATGTAGGAAACTGACTTATACCTGGCCAGGTAATAGACCCATCTGGCCTACTGTATTCCAAGGGTGGGGAACCTGTAGTTCTCCGTATGTTGTTGGACTCCAACTCCCATCAGCCACAGCCTGGGTGGCCAATGGTCAAGGGTGATGGGATTTGTAAGCCAACAACTTCTGGAGGGTTGCAGGTTCCTCAGTCCTTGTCTGCTCTGACTGGCAGTGGCTCTCCAGGGCCATGAGCAGAGACATTTGGTGTAGCGGTGAAGAGCGGTAGTCTCATAATCTGGTGAACCGGGTTCGCGTCTCCGCTCCTCCACATGCAGCTGCTGGGTGACCTTGGGCTAGTCACACTTCTCTGAAGTCTCTCAGCCCCACTCACCTCACAGAGTGTTTGTTGTGGGGGAGGAAGGAAAAGGAGAATGTTAGCTGCTTTGAGACTCCTTCAGGTAGTGATAAAGCAGGATATCAAATCCAAACTCTTCTTCTTCTTCCCCTCACTTGCTTATTTGTTCCTTCTAACCAAAGATGCCTGGGACAGAACTTGCAGCATTCTGCTTGCAAAGCAACAATCTCTTCCCCAGAAAGAGTAGCCAGTCTGCTAAGTGGGATAAAAGTTCATTGAGTTGGGAGAGCCATAATATATTTAATAGTTAATGTTCAAACTGCAAGGTAAACAGACCCTGAGTCCAAGGAAACTCTTCGGCTCATACCTTGGAGGAATTAAGTGGTTCTTTAGAAATATTAAGGACACATTTTCTCTCCTGACACAATAATCCCATGCAGAGAAGAGGAAATTCCACAGTTCCGATTCCTTCAGGTTGCCAGGAATTCTTCTTGAAAAACATAAAAGCAAAAGCATCCCTTTGAAAAAGCCAGTGCACAGGCTCCCGTGGTGTAGTGATCGCCCCAAGGTTTTTTTTAGAGACTATCAGGAAATAAGGGGGTATAGCTCAACAGCCCTGAGGGCAAAGCATCATAGATACTGGCACTGCTATTGATTCTTTTTCTAAGCAGCAAGTGAATGGCAGACAGAGCAATTGTCTACTTTGGATTAAGGCAGGAGTTGGGAACTTACAGCCCTCCAGATGTTTTTGAATCCCAGTTCCCTTCAGCCTCAACCAGTATGGCCAATGGACAGGTTCACCAGTCTTGAATTAGGGACATATTGGAGAAGCTGAACTCCATGTTGGATTCCTGGCAGATGGACTCATGATGAAATATTCCAAGTAATGTTTTGTATGGACAGGCGGAGTCCCTCCAACCCTAGGCGACCCCTGAGTGGAATATTGACTCAAGACAACGTGCCATGGGATTAAAATTAGCCACTTTATTAAGTGTCAGATGTAGGGAGACCTTGGCTCAGGCATTGGGCATTTATCCTTCCCAGTCCCCAGCCGGGGATCTGGGAGACTTCAGGGTTATCCAGAATGTGTGGGGATTGGGCTGGCTCTGGAGAACATATGTTCAAGCAGAGAGCCCACCCCCTGTTTTGCCGCCGTTGGAGGGGAGAGCAATGACAACCTCTTGGCGTATGGCCAATGCCTCCCCTCAAGACCCCTTTAATGGGGAACCCTGGTATCACCGCCGCAAGGAAAGATAGACTAAAAGATTCCGCCCAAGGCCTGAAACCACCAAAGTTGTGACGTTTTGCTACGGGAAAGGCAAAACCTGCCAGTGCAGAAAAATTCCTTTCCAGCCCTTCAGCAGCAACCCTGATGTAGGAGCGCCTGCGTACCTGTGGAGAAGAGGTTAACCTGCAAAAGAAGACTTAACTGAGGGAGGGCAGGGTAGGAGAAGCTCTGGAGCCAACTGACGCTTCGCAGGTAAAATTCACCTTCTGTTATGTGGGCAGGGTGGTCCCTCCCCTTACCTGGCCAATCCCCTGGCAATGCATCCCCAGGCGGGATTGGGCGATTGGCTGAGGAAGGCGAAGACCTCCAGGTATCCAGCCTGGGGAGGATGAAGCCAGCCTGAACTACCAGGAGTCGCACTGGGATCCGGGGGCTGCACGCGACCATGCAAAAGGCACCCCCATTTGATGTGGGGAGCAGTCATTCCCACTTACCTGGGCTCCTTTGGGAGAAAGGGCAGAATATGTCTAAATAAATAAAGTAATACTTCAGGGGAAATTCTGAGTAGCTAACAAAAACTGACAAACCACAACATTACAATTAAACCCTATAGATACACACATTCACCATAAATGATTTTAAAAGCTCATTATTCGAACGTTTACAACAGATAAGAGCATCAGGTATTAAAAATGCGACACTCAAAACAAAAATCCATGAAATAAGTGGTTTTACGACCTGTTGGAAGGTAAGCAGCAGTGGACCCAGGTGGACCCAGTTGAAGATGCTCATATTAGTGTGAAATTCATAAACAGATTAGGTCCCAAATAGCTGAGAGACTGCCCCCTTCCCTATAGACCCTCTTGGGTGACAAAATTAGCAGAGGGGGCTCTCTTGGTAGCTTGGTACCACCCTGTGGTAACCCTGAAGTTTTGGAATTCCTTCAGTATATCTGGCACATTCATTATGCAGTTCCCATTGTGTGCTGAAGATAAATCTCTTCACCCTGGCCATTGATGCCATACCTATATATCTGGATCCACATATCTAGATATCTAGATCGATCTACCCATCTTATTATCTTGACGGCAATTTGTTTTAGACTGATTTTAATATTCTGGGTTTTTTTAATTGCTGTGGATTGTTCTGCCAGTGCAATGATTTCTGCTTGCACAATGTTCTCCACCTCTTCTCCCTGCCCCCCACTCATCCCCTAAATCTGTTCTAGGGATTCCCACAATCCCCCGGACCAGATATGGGGAGGGTTCAGGGCAGAAGCAGGGGGAGGAGAGCAAAACATGAGCTAACAGGACGCAGTAGTTCAATACCTGAATACTTCCCACAAACCCATCCTGAGCAAAGCTGTCAACTTTTCCCTTTTCTTGCGAGGAATTCTATTCAGAATAAGGGATTTTCTCTTTTAAAAAAGGGAAACGTTGACAGCTATGATCCTGAGACCTTATGGTGAAAGGTGGGTAGGACATCAAAACAACAACAGCTATTCAACTGGGTAGATCAGTGGATCTCCTATGGATCAATGGAGCTACAATGGACTAATACTGGATATTGCTGAATTATTTGTTTTATTTTGCTACTGCTAATGTTGTCATTTGTATATACCATTTTTCCTCCTGGTGAAGCCTAAGGTGGCTAAGAATAAAAGCACCAGTGTCAATATATACAGTGGTACCTCGGGTTAAGTACTTAATTCGTTCCTGAGGTCCGTTCTTAACCTGAAACTGTTCTTAACCTGAAGCACCACTTTAGCTAATGGGGCCTCCTGCTGCTGCCGCCCCGCTGGAGCACGATTTCTGTTCTCATCCTGAAGCAAAGTTCTTAACCTGAAGCACTATTTCTGGGTTAGCGGAATCTGTAACCTGAAGCGTATGTAACCTGAAGCGTATGTAACCCGAGGTACCACTGTAATCCAATTAACAGCTCGATGCACTGGAAAAAAACATAGCAACAACATTTCAAAACAATTCAACGGATACATTAAAAAGTATGCTAAATTCAAAAGTGCAATAATCATTTATTGTTTATTAATAATTATTATTGCATTCTGTGTTTTTAACATTTTGTTGCAGGCTGTCCAGAAAAGGTATATTGCTGGTTGTCCTTACAAATAATTAATGAAATAACAACAACAGTTCAACTTCATCACATCTCAGACTTATCAATTATCACATTACAAGAATGATTCTAGCATCGGCTACAAAAGGCAAAGCAATAAAAAACCTGCGGTTGTATTGGCATGATATACTGGCATGACACATGCATTTTTATTAGGATCTGCTTTCTCTCCCAGCTCCACAGCCTTTGCTGTCTCCACTGAGCCTTTTTCTGGATTCAACGCCTGGCATTTGTCCTCATCTGCACACTTTCCCCTGGGGCTTCCTTGACTCTCCTTCCATCCTGAGCTACTGGCTCAGACCATATTGTACAGCAAGCAAGGCTTCTTTTCCTCTTGTTGACCCTCCCTGCAATTAATTACTTCAGTTAGGTAGCACTGTCATTCCCTTCCTCCTCCGCCACCCCTGGGGACCCCACATGACCAGGAAGCAATTTGTTAAAAGGGCAGTCAGTGTGGTCATTTCAGAGCACTTCACATATGGTAGCACTAAAGCTGTAATTCGTGTCCTTGCATCACCTCTGCATGGCAAAGGAAGCCGGAATCCACTAAAGAGGACTCGTGGAATTGTAATCTGGCAACTCCCATTTTCATTCAGGCGTATACTATGATGGGATATTAATGGCAAGCCCAGGAAAGAAGTATCCCGTGATGAAGAATTCATTTTTATGAAGTTCAGAGTTGCATGGGATTTTTTATTTTTTTTAAAAAAAACAACCATTAGAAATTGTGACTCCATAAAGATTAAGACAAGTGGATGTTGAATCAGTTCTCATTCCTCAAATGGAGAATAAATTAGGGATGGGATAAATGAGTGGGGAAACTGGTCTTATGTTACAGAAAACCGTCCCTCATGTGGTTCCCAGCCATTTTGGTACGGCAACCCACAACTCCAACTTGACTTGGCATGAGGACCCAGCCATTTATTTCCACCTGACTTTTAGACTTCAGGTCATCAGTTTCATGCATATTAAGAGCAAGTTTGTCTATTTTATAGCCGGTACTTGAAGTATCCAAGCCAAAATTTACTTAATGCCCCTACTAATGTGGAATTTGTTGAAATATTTATAATACCTATAAAGTTATTTACAGGGGTTTTTTTACGGGAATGTAAGAGCACCAATCATCTGATTGCAAGATACTGATTCATAAGCTATAAAAACTATTCTAAAAGCATTACACAACAGTGTTAGATGTAACTATGAATATTTTTAATAGTTGTATTCACTATAAAGTCCATTTTGACAGGTATCAGTTGAATGGCTAAGCATTCATTTTGCCAACAATCCGGTCAGTGAAGGGTTTGATGGTTGTGAAAGTCTCACATCATTTTTGATATGTAGCCTGTATTTCATCTTCACAGCAATCGTTGCTGAAAACCCAGTCTCGCAAAAGATATATATGCTGCACAGATACTGCTTCACAACCAAGCTCAGAATACTCAGTAGTAACTGAGTAATTTTGGTAACAGGCAGCCAAAATTCAGATGACCTCACTTCCAGAATTTTGTATTTGTTGGTTCTATCACATGGCGATGACAAACCTAGACAGCATCTTAAAAAGCAGAGACATCACCTTGCCAACAAAGGTCCATATAGTTAAAGCTATGGTTTTCCCAGTAGTGATGTATGGAAGTGAGAACTGGACCATGAAGAAGGCTGATCTCCGAAGAATTGATGCTTTTGAATTATGGTGCTGGAGGAGACTCTTGAGAGCCCCATGGACTGCAAGAAGATCAAACCTATCCATTCTGAAGGAAATCAGACCTGAGTGCTCACTGGAAGAACAGATCCTGAAGCTGAGGCTCCAATACTTTGGCCACCTCATGAGAAGAGAAGACTCCCTGGAAAAGACCCTGATGTTGGGAAAGAT